GAAGAATGCAAGGAATGAGCAAATTAACCCGGACTGGTAACTGGCTGGCATATTTTCTAGGTCAGCTAAAAATGACTCCAAGGAGAGGAGTCCTTCCTGACAGAAATAATTTCTTGTATAACAAAGCTTGCGATTGAACAAACTTTTCCCTCCATTCAACTTGGAGCTACTTTTTGTGGTGTTCAACCACATTTATTCTTCATGCTTGGGTCCTTTGCCACTTGGGTGACTCGTCCCTTTGGTGTAAACCTCAGGTTCTCAGTATGCCTTTGTGTTTTTGGTGTGGAAGACAAACCTACTACAGGTTTGCTGGGACGAAGTTTTTTTTTGGCTTAGGCCTTCTACCCCACCAACAGTTGTGCTTTAGAATTCTGAGTCTGAGTCACTGAGAGGAACATGTAATTAGCATGATTTAAGGAAGAGCTGTGATCTTTGAAAACTCTGCCCTTGGAGTGTGTATATATGAACATAGAAGAATTGGAAACTGGCCTCTGAGGGAACTTCCAACTCAGTCTAGGATTCTAATAATCTCTGATTATTACAAGCCTTTTCTACCAAGTCTTTATGGATGGTCCTCCTACCTCTGTCTCTTTCCAGCATTGAAGTTTACCAGAAATGAAGACTGCATTGCCCTCCTTACTTCCACCAGTATGGGAATGCAGGCCAGATACAGCTGGCTCCCTTGAGGATACAAAGTGGTGGAAATAAAACTAGACTGTAAGGGGTGATCTTTTACTTCTGTAATGAGGTTGGCAGGTTCCTATCTCTACATGTTTTGAGTCTTGGAAGGAAATGATAGCCATAGGATTATGGCTTCTATGATTTAGATGCTGAGCCTCTTCATTTTTCTACCCACAATAATTCCATGAACACAGAATGTTCTGTGTAAAGGGTGGACTGAAGACAGAGAATTGGGGAATGTTTTAGGGATCCTCTTCTGGGATAGTTTGAAAAATATTTTTAGCCCATTAGAAAGCTATTTAAGAAACCGTATTCATCTGCTCTGAAGAAGGCAACTGCAGGTCTGGCTTTTATCCAAATGAGAGTCATTCAGAACGATTTAAGTTTAGGAAATCATATACATCAAAATGTTACTGGGAAACAGAGGTTGAACACAAAAGAAATATCCTGGGACCCAGAGTTAGATGGAAGCAGCAGGGTCAATAGCTCTGTTCAACATAAAACACCTCAATACTCCCTCTGTGCTATACACTAGATGCACTCTTCTGACTTTAGCAGTGTTGGGTGGTTGTGGTGTTTCCTTTTCCCCCTTTTTATTCTGTTTCACTAGCAGTTCTTCATTTGATGATCTGATTAAGTCTTGTCATATTCTTTATCTTATTTCCTTTTTATCTTATTTCTTTCTTATTTTATGTCTTCCAATTTTGCTCAAGAAAATTGTGGTCTGGGTGAAATAAAATTTAAAAATGCAAATTTTTAAATAGTTCATAGTAGATACTTAAGTACACAGTGAGCATTTAATACTTGTTAGTTGGATAGTGCCCTGTAGATATGACATTTTTATCATTTATCATCCTCTTGTTCCAAAATTGTTGTTACATAAAGATCAGAAAGGTGGTATAAAAATGCCCAAAGATATAGAGCTGGTGGAAAACCCAGCTGACTCCCATAGTAAGATTTTAGGAAGAGTGCACCTTCTTTCATTGCTTAATAATTGGGTGTTGGCATTCCTGTCTTGGGACTGTACCCCCACTTCAATTAACCCCTTGTCGCAGGTCAGTGAGAAAGACCCGCTCTTCTTACAATCATGGCAGAAATTGTTTGTTATTCTCCCCTTCACTGCCAGTCCTACCTTATTTTCCTATAATCTCATAATTGCTAAATATTGAGTGTCTATAGAAATCTATGGCTTGAGACAAAGACTTTCTGATATCTAGCTAGGATCCCTAGACAAGGTTTTTGCCCATAAACAATGGCAGGCTCCTTTTTAATTTTAACTTTTGTCTACTGGAAAGAAGGTGGTTTTGTGTAGTAGCATGATCTTAACTCTGAATGTACTTTGTGTGTCCCAGAATGATGTCAGGAGCACTGAACCTTGCCTCAGGAGACCAGGGCTCTCTTCTGCTCATCCCTTTTCTGTCATGATGCTTTGGGAAAGTCCTGGAACTGAGTCTCAGTTTTCCCATCTTCAGAGAGAAGACATGGAGCTATGAATTCCAAGAGCCCTTCTAGCTGTGACCTTTTAGTTTACAAACCTTAAACTGTTATCCCATCCCTGCTGTTCATGGTTGATTAATGTCTTTACATGTTTATAAAATATTGTGGTAAGTCTTAAAATTCTCTAGGAGTGATATGACAATACTCAGTGTGACTTCTGCAGTACAGGACTATTCTGCTATGGAGGGTTTATTTCTCTAAACTAAAAAGACCATGACCCAGAGGCCCCTTCTGGATGCTATATGTCCTTGGCTAGGTGAATGCTGGTAGCATCGTAACTATAGCTATTGACATCACTTACACAGTTACTGAGGTCATGGAAAGTGACATTCTAAAGACTCTCTAAAGAAGAGAACTGGCAGCCATATTACTTCTCCATATAAGAAAATAGGTTCCAAAGTTTCAGAAAAAGAAGTGATTTAAATTCAAAGTCAGAAAGGGAAATGTGATTTACCCATGATCACATGGAATTTCAAAACCAGGATTGTAACACAGAACTATTATAGATCCTGCTCATTGCACTTTTTAACTTCATTTTACTAGCTCACATGACATATCATGTAAACACAAAGTTACTATTTCATGAAGCATTTCTGGTCATAAAAAAACATCTCTAGTCTCCATAATTCCCGTAGGTCATGTGACAGGAGAGAAGATGATAATAGGCTTTAAATATGCCTCTGATACTATAAGGCTAGGTATGCCCCATACATTTTGCATTTGGAGAGAATACTTAGTTTTAGGTTTATCTTTTCAATTTTTTCCTCTGGCGCTTAGGAAAGAAGTTTACTTGAACTTCTACATTTAAGAGTACACTACATCTCTGAAAAAGATCACTGCCATGGTCAAATTGATTGGTTATTCAGAAGTAACCAAAGCTCAAACTTCATTTAGTGTTTCCCTAAGGTAAAGGAAAATCATGGGTACTTATTAGAGAAGCTATCTTGGCAGGTTTTCATCCCCTTTGGATAAAAGAAAAATTGCACCCAATACATAAATTGACATATGAAGCAGTAAATAATTCCATTGTGCAAGTTGTTTTAATGGACTCAAGCCAGAAAGTTCCATTAACCAGCATGATTAGAATATTCATGGAGGGCCAGGAGGGGTTGGTGCCTGCCTGTAATCCCAGCAGCTCCAGGGGTGGGAGGTTGGGGGGTAGGCGGGTGGAGGTGGGCTGAGACAGGAGGATCAAGAGTTCAAAGCCAGCCTCCCTCCGCAACGGTGAGGCACAAAGCAACTCAGTGAGACCCTGTCTCTAAATAAAATACAAAATAGGGCTGGGGATGTGGCTCAGTGGTTGAGTGCCCCTGAGTTCAATCTCTGGTACCCAAAAAAGAAAAAAAGAATATTCATGGAGGTCAGTGTTTATTGCCAAGCCAGGAAAAGAAAAGAGTGAAGGAAAGTGCCAGGCTGGGGGAAATGATAAATGCCAGTACAGTCTCTGAGAAGGTGAGGGCTTAGAAAGGGAACTTTAGAGGCATGCACAATACTTTCTGCTTTTTTTCCTTTTTCTTATTTTTTTTTTCCTTCTTTGGCAAAACATTAACTACATAAAACGATACATGTTGGTTTTCAAATTCAATTACCAAAACTGTGAGAACTGGGCGATAGATTGTGCTGGGCTCTTTTCTTTCTTTCCTTTTGTAGGAAGCAGCTCAGGGATCCACCACCTGGGGAGGCTGAGGTGAGAGGCATTTGTGTGAGGTTGTGTTTGTGCGCACCTCTACAGGGATAAACATTCAGAAACTACAAAAGCATTCCCAAAGGAATCCTTCCTTAATACAGGAAGTGACAGCTTTGTGAAGGCATAACAATTAAGCTCCAGGTTTTCATCTAGAAATCCCAAAGGCTTTAATTTCTAGAAGAAACCAGACCTCTGTAATGTTTCATGGGGCTGCTTAGAGTTATAGGCAACTTAGTTGAAGCTGGTTGAATGCAAGGCACCTGAGCTTGGCTTAACCTCCAGGCATTTCTTTGCATTCAGAGATGTTTAAACCCACAACCATTAAATTCTTATGGGCACATTCAAAAGAACAGGCCATAGAAATGACAATTTTGTTAACCAACATGGGCACACTCTTCTGCCATGATTTTACTGTTCCAAAGCTGACTTTCTCTTGGTCTGCACTTGGATTTATCCAATGACCAGAACTAGTCTATGCCAGACAGTGGCTTCTTCCCACATACTATTGACCAGGACTGTGAATTTACTGAGAGGGGCAGGCACGATCTCCCTACAAACATTAACATGTCCTTTGCCACAGTTTCACTGGATGGAATGTGTGCAGAAAATGGAGGGCCAGGAGAAACAGAAGCTGAAACCACTGAATTGAGAAACTGGGCATTTTCAACTGCTCATCACTTTTGTCCTACCAACTGGGAAGTCCCATGTCTTTCCCACTTTTTAATTATGTTTACTGCTTTAAGGAAACCACCATTGTTGTAAAATCACCTTGACTGTTCTTGTCCCCGTCCCATTTACTTGATACCCTTTCTCTCTCTCCTTCTTAATTCTTGCTATCAGAATGTTAGTGTGAGTTTAACACCCATACTTCCAGCTCTGGTCACTGTCATGAGCACCAGACTTCCATTTTCATGTTGAATTCTCAACAACAAACTCACCATGTTTGAAAATAATTTTATTCTTTTCTTCTTACCTTCTAAATTACTTAGAATAATTGAACTAGATGGGAGGTAAGCCACTAATCTCAGCAGCAGTAGAAAAGCCAAGTGAAATATTACTTTGCCTTCCCAAACTTGTATTTGGTTGTTTTAATCTGATAGAAATGACTAACCTAATGGAAAACTCTTTCTTTTAGGAGACCTGGAGAGGGTCTTAGGATCTACTGGGGGAGTCCAGAGGAGCAGTCCCTATTGTCCCGCTGGAACCCATGGTCCACTGAAGTTCCTTATGCTACCTTCACTGAACACCCTATGAAATACACCAGTGAGAAGTTCCTCGAAATTTGCAAGGTAGGCAGCAGCTGGGCCATCACTCTTAGATTAGTTGTGTTGTTGGCAAAGCAATGTGTTTCTATGATATGTACCATTTTTTTATTCTTCACCAGAAGAAAAAAGATAGGATACAAACTTGGGACTATAGAAACAAAACCTTTAATAGATTTATAGAACAGCTGTATATCTATAGCACAGCTATTTTACTTATGTAAACATATTATATTAACATACTTGGTACTTCCCCCTTGCTAATTTCGTTTAGTGTAACATCATTTAAAAATTGCAAAATGATTGCATTTATTGTCAGCAGGAACCATACAGCTTTCTCTATATAACCAAATCTTAATTATTTTATTCTGGGAAGAAGTCTGGACTAATGTAAAGTGTGGTTAGTCAGAGTTGGCTCTCTGGTCATATTTAACTAAATCACTTATCTCTTAGGAGTTTGGTAGCCTCCTCTCCAAAATGGATATGATAAATGCTTCTCTATCACTCAATATCACTGGACCATTGTAAGTTTAGTTGGGGGTAATTTGTGTTATCGATGTTCCATAAAGTATAAAGCAATTATGATTTTTAAAAAATTCATCAGTAGCAGGAACAGTCCCTTATACTTCTCTTATTTTCCTCAGGTATTTTAAGTGCTGGGACACTAAGTAATCAGAAATAACAGATGGAGCTGAAAATTCAGTGAAAAGACCAAACGATTTATTTTCAATAAATCAAACATATATATTCCTATGCTTATGGGCCTAGAAATTCTTATTTTTTCTGTCCTTTTCACATTTACCTTTATATTCACTTCAGAATATTAAACTTATTTGATATAAATTTAAAAATTGGCAATCTGCATGTAAATTTCTTCTGTGGTTGGATGACATATATTACATTTTTTGCATTATTCAAACAAGTGTGTATACACACACACACACACATAAATAAATAATTTTGTATTAGCGAGTCCCCCATTTTAAAAAGAGTTTGCAGAACAATGTATGTGATTAAAGGCTAATTAGGGCCTTCATTCCCCCTAATTATGGAGGTACAGTTGGCTTAGATCCATCCTACTCACAGAAAAAGTCAATGGTTCTCTCAAGATTTATGCGGAAGTCCTGAGAGGTTGTGGTATCGTGGTTTACCTCTGGCTCCACAATATCACAGGCACTAAATTATTTCAGTGTATGGATCATGTTGCCACAGTTCATGTGATACGCTTATTTCACAATCCCTCAACCAAAACATCAACATCAGCTCCTAGCCTGACCCTTTAACTACCAAAGCCAACAAAACAAAATGAAAACCATGAAGAACAACATAGCACATAGAGGTATTTATGTAAGAGTAGATGTGCCGAGAGCATCAGGGACATAGAGTGGGAGTTCATATCCTAACTTCAGATGCAAAATAAAATCTCCCTGTTTTGAAAAGTCATTACTAATAACAATATTCTGATGCCTGTTCCATCAATCGCTCATCTTCTGTTCCTCCCTAAGCTCCTATTCTTTTCTTATTATCATTGTTAACGGTGCAGAGAACTTTATGTTTCTTCCTTCCAAGCAAATTGGGTTCTAAACATTAAATAATGTATATTTGTGGATTCATAGTTGTATGCTTTTATAAGTCAAAATAAATACTAACTGCCTTGATTATTACAAAATCCCCACTTCTGAGGCCATGTCTTCTTTTATTCCTCATACTTGGTGCCTTAGGTAATCATCGCGTCAGTTTCCTTAGCTGGAAGAAGTTAAGGGTAAAAGATTGAAGAATAAGTTCTATACACTGTAGAGACATTTCACTCTCTTATTATAATATCTGATAGTGCTTTGTTTTGTTCTGCTACATATAAATACAATCAAGTATTTTTAAAAAGAAAATGAAAATTAAGATATTGAAAGGAGTATGGACTAATTATTCCCCAAATAGCCATCAATGTAGTTAGTATCCTGGAGCATTGTGTTTTGCCCTAGCCCTCCCACCAGCAAATGCTAAGAGAGAAACAATATTCACATTATCTTATACTGGATGGAAGTAAGGACAATAGGGGTGTGTGTGTGTGTGTGTGTGTGTGTGTGTGTGTGTACGTGTGTACACACGCACATGTGTGTGCAATTGAAGTTGCACGCACATCCACACATGATGACTAGTCGATTAATTATTGGTTGGTTTTTTGTCAATTAAATTACATTGTGGATCTGTAAAATGTGTGTGTGTGTGTTTTAAGGCTCTATCTTTTAAATTGTTAATCTGAAGTCTTTTTTTTCCCCCTTCCTGGCATAAATCTGGTACTTCCTTTGCCAAGCCATTTCTTGTTCAAGGGCCACCCCAAGTCCCAGCTCTCTAGGGAAACAAATGATCTCCATCTGGGATGTGAGAGGATGAGTACTTTGATCCTGTTCTTTGAGTCTTAGTTTCTCTTTTGTTGTTGGTTTTTATGTTGCAGTATTCTTTTTGTTTAGGATATTTTCCAAGGTTGGCTTTGATTAAGACTCAGTTACATTATTGCAAAAGAATAAATAAGAAGAAAGATAATTTGGGGGATCTAGAATCCCTTTTATGTGAATATTTTCACATAAGAACTTAACAGGGTGTTATAAAAACTACTTTTTCTACTTCTTTTTGAAGCAAGTAGGGAAATAAGAGAGGAATATGGAGGAAATGCAGCACTAAATCACATTTCTGCAGAAATTTAATTCAATTTAGCAAACTTCTTTTGGCACAGGGGAGGAAATAATGTGGACTTGAGTAATACACAGTCAAAAATTCAAATTATTTATAATCTAATGAGTAATATTGCTAAAATATATTTAAAATGTTCTAACTAAATGCCGAGAGTCTTTTTTTCTGTAGCACCTGGAATTTCTTTATTCAAAAACATTTTCCAACACCTACAAAGTACAGGCATTATTAATGTTGCTAATGATAGGAACATAAATGAGATAAGAGTCTTGCATTTGTGCAAGACACTGTTTAACAGAGGAGGCAGAAAAAACATAGTGATTTTAAAATAAATATTAATTGACTAAAACAGAAGTTTGGATCAAGTGAGAAGTGGAGGTACATGAAGGGATATATAATATTCATAAATAAGGAGATACTAACTTTAGATGAAATTTATTTTTATACATTCCTCCATTACAATTATAATGATTTGGATAGCAGATATAAGATTCTAAATCAAGTTGGGGATAGTAGGAGGGACAGAAGATGAGGAAATTTTAAATTATTCAGATAAAATTAATGAAAAGTAACTGACAAGATATAAAAGATGATGGAGAAGAAGTCAATGAAAATATAATTTCTGGCCTGAGTAAATGGTGACTCCATTAATTCAAGTTGGGAAAACAAGAATAAGAGTTGGGTTAGGGGTTTAGTTTTGTTTAGGACATGTTAAGTTTGACACCATAGACTGTGAGCTGAAGTTGATTGTCAGGCAGTTAGAAATTTGTGTCTGAAACTTGAGCTGTTGATATCAGTTTCACAGCATGTAACCTTGGGTGGAAGCTGATTGGTACTGAAGGAAGGTACTGAAGGAATGAGCACTAATGCACAAAAATGCATTCAAGTTCAAATTTCTACTATATCTAAGTCTCTTAACATTGATCTACAACATTGCTATGGAGTTTATATAATACTACATCAAAATACATTATTCTTTTACTCATCTCATTAACTGTCCCATTTCCACATCTGGCTAACATGGTGGTCAAAAGGCCCCTTTCCAGACAGTCTTGCTCATCTCCCCACCTAACCAGCCTTTTCCAATCTGTGCATACATACTTGGTGTTACGCATCTCATATAAAACAATTGTGAAAATGTGAAATACTAGGTTTTTTGGCATGGATTTCACTAGGATAAGACATAAAAATAATCTGATAATGTAACTGTATTTTTGTTTATTATAGTATGAATCCATGTAATTAAATTAGCAAAAATCCCATACATAGGGATTCGGACAATAATCTTCTTTTTAAAAATAAGACACTTAAGGGCTGGGGATATAGCTCAGTGCTAATGCACTTGTCTAACATGTTCGAGGCTCTGGGCTCAATCCCCAGTACCAAGAAACAAACAAACAAACAAATAAATAAAAACTTAATCAAAGAAATTAACTGTCATTGGTTAAGGTCATGCAATGATAGCTCTATATCCATACCTAAAAACTTTGCTTTTATTCAGGGAAATGGGTATAAACCTGAAGGAATTGTCTCTCTGTGTGTGTGATTCTCTTGGTGTGCATGTATGTGTGTGCAAGGGGATGAGAGACTGGGTGAATATTCATATTTATTAATACAATTATATAATATTGTATATTGCAATCTGGTTCAGTTACTCTCAGTTGATTTATTCACATTGTATTTGCAACTTGTAGTCTTATCTTTACTTTTTTTTTTTTTTTTAATCATTTCTTGGTCAGGTTCCTTTAACTATCACGTTGTTAGGATTGGAGTGTACTTCTGGAAATAAGAATAGGACCCAAAGCTGGTGGATAATAGTGAATGGATCAGGGATGCTTTACAGCAAATCAAAAGTTATCTGCACAATAACCCTTTCCACTCTTTCCCAGCATTTTTATCCCTCTTGTGAAGGAGATCGTGAAAGTAAGCCAATGTTTTAGCAATCAAATTTAGTTCTATATTCATTGATCTCGCATTGTGTACCATCTAATAAGCAATGTGCTAGTACCTGGGATCCTAAGACTGTAAAGTAGATTTTGCCTCCAGACACTTGTGGTATAAAGGGAGGAGGCAAAAAGGTAATTAACAAACTATTATTTAATGTGCTAGGACTGTTAATAGAGGGATTCTTAAGGGGTTATGGGAGCCTAAAAGAGGGAACAGATAAGTCCAATAGTTAACAGGTATGATGACATTTGATGTGAAACTCAAAGTATGAGTGCTTTAAGTATCAAAGAAGGTGAGAAAAGACCTTTTAAGTAAAGGAAACGTGAGTAAAAGCTGCAAACAAATTACAAAGCTATATGAAATGTTCTTGGCTAATGACTAATTCAGCTTAA